AAGCATGAAATAATTTCTAGTTAATGTATATGAATACGCACTAGCTCCAGATATAATTGCTTAAAAGTATGGGGAAATGCAGTGAAAAGTGTAAAATAATTTCTATTTAAACTGCATTGTTATTCACCATCGTTTGATAAATTTAGTTAAATTATTCAATACATTATATTAAATGCAATGCACATTTTTCGGAGGCGGCGCATAATATAAAATTACTGTCCTAGCGAATTATAGAGGACTGTCTGGATTCCAAAAAGATCGATATACGTCAACACGATTCGCCTGTCTCTCTCTCTTCTGTCTTTCTGACAATGTTGGCCACCACGGAGAGCGACGTGGTGCGGAGAGACGTAAACGCCTGGAAATTTTGGCGTCCAAATTGTTCTCCGAAGATGGGAATACATAGAGCGTCACCGCTGACATACGTCGTGTAATCGTCATCGACGCGAGAAATATGTTACAAAGCTTCGTGCTTCGTCTGTTTCGAACTGCGAGACTTCTTGACTTTCTTGTAATTCACCAGTTTCACATAAAAGTCTTTGTTTCCTTTAGACATCGGTATTTGCTTCGTCTGCGAACTGGGAAATTTCTTACGTTAATTCTGTCAACTCGACAAAATTCTGTTCGAGCAAAGATACCGAACAACTACCTACAGACAAAAGTACCAAATTTGGTTTAACTATCTGTCGAAGGAACAAAAAATATGAACTCTAATTATTGCTATTATACGTATTCATATTCATACAGTATTTCCATGGGGAGAGTTTATACATTAGCAGTAATCAATTTTGCCGCCCCTCCCCTCCAAAAAAGCCCCAAATCTACTCACACTATATTTCCGTGTACATACTATATACATTAACTATTAATTCCTCATAGACAATAAACATGTATACGTTGACAGCAATCAATATTGCCGCCTCTACCAAAAGCTAACCCAAACCGGAATTAAAAATTTTATACATCTGGGCCGCCTCCGAAAAAGGTGCATTTCATTTAATATGATGTATTTAATAATTTAACCAAATTCATCAAACGGTGGTGAATAACAATGCAGTTTAACTAGAAATTATTTCACACTTTTCACTGCATTTTCCCATATTTTTAAGCCATTATATCTACAGCTAGTGCGTATTCATATACATTAACTAGAAATTATTTCATGCTTTTCACTGCACCTTTTTCGAAGTCGGTTAAATTTTTTTCCAAAAAATTATTTTATGTACAGTAATGTTTAAGATAGTCTATAAATACACAATGAGCTCTTTCCAGAGATCCTAATGACTGAGGGTGAAATGCAGTAGAGGTAATTCTTGGAATTTTAAAAATCTTATCAAATCTATTGATAAACTGTTCGGACAAAGCGGCAGCGGCAGACACTGAATCGATATTAGGCAAGGGAATAGCATCAGAATACTTAGTTAAATTATCCTGAAGCGTCAGTAAATAACGATTGCCTCTTGAAGTTGAAGGTAATGGACCCACAATGTCCATCTGCATCTTTTCGAACGCGACCTTGGGAATGTCAGTAATTCGCATGGGTTGTCTAGTCTTTGCAGAACGAATTTTATTCCTTTGGCATATTAAGCAGATACGTACAAATTCTTTCATTTGCCTTGTCATACCAGGCCAATAAAAATGTTCTCGAATGCTGCTATAAAGTTTAGTCATGCCTTTATGATCCCCTACTACAGACTCGTGAAACTCCTTAATAATTATGTATTTGGAGTCATTAAAAACTTGATTTATCGTATCTACATATAATAAAATTCCATCAATTTCAAGCAATTTCAATGGGTTCAAGATTATTGTCATTCTTTGATATACTAAAGTTTTTCAAATTTGAGGAATCTAATAGGTGCTTTAAGGATTTAATGGAGGAAACAATGTGAACAGGATTTGGTTTATCCTGAGAAACAGCTTTAAAGAATAAATGGTAAATACGAATGTTATCAGCAGGGAAGGTCATGGCATCACCGACATTCAAAGAATACTGTTTGAGTTGATCAATGGAAAACCCTCTTCGTGCTAATAAATCCTGTCCAGTCTGTGAAATGTTATTGCAATCAAGTGGTAGAAAATGGACAAGGTTGTCTGTACGCATAAAAAGGTAATCTTTACTATTAAAACTTACAGGTAGTGTAGTAAGATCAGTTGTATCAGTTGTTTGTCTGTTAGAGTCTAATATTAAAATTTTGTCTTTTTCAGAGTCGTTAACGGTTTTTTCACCTAGGATTCCCCGCGCGGTCTTGGTCGCGAAAAAACTGGATATGTGCTGAGCAATCACTAGGTTCCCCGGGGACCTCTGCCGTGACATCGTCGTCAACAATCTACTGGGCATCACAGCCTCCGCTACAGCACACTCCGAAAAACAACCAGGCTCGTCAGCCTCTGCTACAACAACAGTCGCAAAAACAGGCTCCCCACACCTCTGCCACGATCCAAGATTACGCAAGGCTTGGAGCTCTGGCAGCCTTATCGGAAACGGACTACCTCCAATGACATCGGGAGCGGTTGCCTGGGGCACGGTCATCCCGTCCAACCGACCGCCCAAAGGAGACTCATCACTAGTCCTCAACCGACGTGATCCCTTACCTTTAATATTAGCTTGAATACATTCATTCCCAACAGAGAGCAAACTAACATGATGGGAACTTGTATCAGCTTTACTTAAAATGTCACATCTGTCAACAAAAGCATTTTTCCACATTAAGGTTTTCCATGAACTCTTTTACTTTTTCCTTTCCTTTTTCTTTTACTCCTCCATCCACCCAAAAAATTGAAGCTATCATTTCCTTATTACTATAATCAACAAAACGGTCATCAACCCTACTCGTACAAGTATCTGGAACCGATAACTGTTCTGCGCAGTCCAGCATCTTTTTCAAACGCTTTGAACAAGGTTTAAGAGACTTTTCTACTTGAGGAAGACTTGACGGAGAGTCATGAGTTTCATTAGATGAAATTGGATTTCGAGAAAGTGCATCAGCATTAGAATTTACTTTACCAGGTTTATACACAATATTATAGTCATACTCGTTTAATCTAATTCTCCATCTCATAATTTTAGAAGCTGTGTCCTTTACATTGTGCAGCCAGATCAACGGCCTATGATCCGTAACTAAAGTGAATTGCTGACCACATATACAAGGACGAAAGTGTTCTACACCAAACAAGACAGCTAATAATTCCTTCTCAATAGTGGAATAATTAGTTTCAGCGTTATTCAGAGTTCTAGATGCGTACGCTATGGGAAGATCCCTTCCGATAGGCCCTTGACTCAGCACAGCCCCCAATGCATATTCTGACGCATCAGTTGTAACTAAGAAAGGACGCGAGAAATCAGGAAACTGTAATAGTGATTTCGAACAGATAATATTTCTCAAGATCTCAAAAGCAGTTTGAGTTTCAGAATTCCAGCAAAAAAGGGTATCTTTTTTTAAAAGTTTTATAAGTGGTTTTGAAATCTTGGCCATATCTTTGATAAATCTCCTATAGTAACAAATTAAACCTAAGAATTGTTTAACATATTTCCTAGTCTTAGGTATGAGGAATTGTTTTACTGCCTTGACTTTCTCAGGATCCGGTTTTACCTCGTCGGTGGTAAGGACATGCCCTAAATATACTATTTCACGGCAAAGGAAATGACATTTCGAAGGCTGAAGTGCTAATCCGGCATTTTGCAAACGCGCTAAAAGAGTTTTAAGTTTACGCCCATGTTCCTCTAGTGAATTTGCATATATAACAATATCGTCCATATAAACGAAAAGGTCACTCCCTTGTAAACCAGACAATGCCACATGCATAACCCTTTGAAACGTAGCCGGGGCATTTTTTAAACGAAACGGCATCCTATTAAATTCAAAATGGCCATGTGGTGTTGAAAACGCGGTCTTTGGTTTGGAAGCAGGTTCAACAGAAATTTGATGAAAACCCGAGGCCAAGTCTAAGGTACTGAAATACTTCGCCCCACCTAATTGGTCTAGAATGTCCATAATATTGGGTAACGGGTAGGCATCACTAACCGTCTTTTCATTTAATTTCCTATAATCTATTCGCCAGTGAGGTTTTCTGAAAGAGTCTGACTTCTTTGGAACTATCCATACGGGAGAATTATACGGCGATGCTGAGGGTTGAATAATATTGTCGCTGAACAAGGTATCTACCTGTTTCTGTATTTCGGGTTTATGAATCAATGGAAAACGATACTGTTTGGTATTAATGGGTATTTCATCAGTAGTTACTATAGAGTGCTGACTGGTGTTAGAACAACCTAATCTATCTGCGGAAAGGTGAAATTGGTAAGGAAATTTTTTGATTATTTCTAAAATGCAAACTTTCTCTATTTCGGTAAGATGCTCAAAATTGAAAGTTTCTACCAACTGGGCAAATCGCTGTGCATGCGCATTTGATCGATTTAGGTTAGAGTCCGTTTCTCGAGATGAACGTTGTGCAGGGTTCCTACCCTCGAAATCCTCTAACTCAACAGGGGGTACATTTAGGACAATTTTATCAGTGGTGGTATTAATTATAAATACTTTCGTATACCCATTCTCTTGAGCTGCCAAAACCTCCCCCATATAAACCCCTGGACCACCGACCATTCTTCTTATATATCCCGTTTCATTTTTATTCTTTACAGGGACTGAAATTAGGACCTTACTGCGTGGAGGAAGATCGAATGATGTAAATGCTGAAGAAGACTGTACCTTTTTTCCAATTTCAAGACTATTCGGAAGCTTGTCTCTGAATACTACCGTAGCATCCTGTTTCTGGAGAAAGGAAACCCCAACCATTCCAGTTTGCTTTATTTAAAAATCATTATCAACGACTTGGAAGTTAATGGAGATTTGATTAATAGGGATAATAACCTCACCACAAGTCTGAATTATTCCCGGACAGATTCCAGTAAGATTAAGAACAATTTGTGTATTTATTACTGCGTGTGAATCCAAACCCTGTAATTTAATTAAATTTAATAGTGATCCAGTGTCTACAAGGAAATTGGCATAACCATCGCAGAAAAATCCATGTTCCAGTCAAATTACTAATGAACTGGGCTCTGAGAAACTTGAACAGTGGGCGATACAATGGTATCTACGCGCGCAATTAAGGGTTTGCCCTGCGATGCGCTTGTTCGATGGCCCCTGTTGAAGTTTAAATCCTGTGAAGAATCTTCGGGGGAAAATCTGGATGTCCTGAATTTAGAAGGCGAGTTTTTACTAAAACACCGTTCCTCCGTATGCCCGCTTTTCCTACAAAATCCACATTTAAGCGTTCTATGAACATTTAGCTCTGAATACGGTTTCTTTTGACTCTTGCAATGATTACGCATGTGTCCCAATCGATTGCAATCGAAACACCTGCGAGCCGAAGTATCTACTACACACAGCTTTGAATTATTAGCAAATGAGCTTGAATTTACGACAACTTTTGAAACTCGAATTCTCTCGCCAATTTTGATGCAGAATTTATCATGGACTCCAAACTATCTCCCTGCTCTCTAATAATTAGCATTCTGATATTAACATTAAACAAACCCCTCTTGAATCCCGAAATCGCAGATCTCTTAAGGAGAACCCTGACCCCCTCAGATTGCTGAAAATCAAAGTTCTCCTTTACCGCCATGAGTCCCCTATCGAAAATTTCGTTAACCCGTGCTCCATAACCCTCGACACTCTCCCCATTACCTTGATAAGCATTTTTAACTCATCGTAAATTCGATCTATATCAAAAGACTGCACAAAAATTGATTTAATTATATTTATTAGTTCCTCTAAAGTGTTC